AAAAGTAAAATAAAATAAAATAAACTAGTATAGTAGTAGTACACTAGTACTACGTCCCCCCTCCCCCCCCCCCCCCACCCCCCCCCCCACCCCCCACCCCACCCACCCACCACACACACACACACAGATATACATGTATGTCTGTTGCATAAATATGGATATGTATGTCAGTACCTAACACATATATAGTTGCCAGAAAAACTAATCTCAAAATTATCATTTTTGACAAGACAAGTCCATATACCATTTCAAGAATGGAGGAGCAGTATAAAAGATGAAAATAAAGACTTTCAATAGTGAGATTTGTAGATGAGATGTCGAGAAAAAATGTCTTGGTTTCTAGAATGTTAGACACACATTCGCAAGACGTCTGCATACAAATAAAACCATGAGCAAATGCGTCCATGAGTCATAGATACACACATAAAATGGTTGCTTCTGCGTCCCTATTCTCTTCAATCTTCTTTTCATGACAGGTGGAGTTTATATCTTATGGGCTTTGCCTTCACAATGTTTTTGCCCCTTGAAGGAAATGCAAAAGAAGTACGACTTGGCTTGATAATTCAAAAAGCGCCAAATTAAATCTCTCTAAAACAATGCGGATATAGAAGTTCCTAAATAAGGGCCTATCCTAGAAATGGCATCGAGAAGTTGTTAATGTAGGGCCAGTGATCCAAAATCACCCCCAACATGAATTTTTTCTCTTTATTAAGGATAATTTGGTTAGTATATAGACTTTACGTGATAGCTAAGTTCATATTGCAGAGGCAAGATTTTGATGGAACACTTTTGTGAAGGTTGTCATTGGGGATTTTGGGGAAAACTGTAACTATCATTGTGCCTTAGATTGGATGGTTCCATCGCCATTTTGCAATGTAGGTGTAGCACCGGTGATGAAATGGACGATGTAGATTGATTTTGTGGTTCTTTAATGGCAGTAGAAAGGGGAATCAGTTGTGCTTAGCCATTGCAATTGTGAGATAACCCACCAGTTGCCCGTGGAGATAGCGCGATTAGGATGAACCACATATATTTATAATGTTATGGTTTTTGGAGTGTGCTTTGTGGAGTGTTGTTGTTATTTTCAGTTTTCCTTTCTCTTTTTTATTTTTTTCTCTCGGTTTTGTACTAATTTTCCCAAATTATTTTCCCAAATATCATTGTTGGGTGTTTTGAGTTTTTTGATATCAATTTGTTGGTTATAGGCAGTTGGTTTCAAGGTATTAGATTTATTGTAGCGCATGGTTCACTGCAATATCGAACAATGAAGCAAGTCTCTGTTTCCAAAATTTAACATTGTCTCATGTTTAATCTTCCAATATACAAAATGGTTTGGCCTTTAGAGATGCACCATGTGCAACTACTACAGAACTACCCCTTGAATATCGTTTAATGTTCTTAACTTTACTATTATTTTCTGAGTTCGCATACAATTACAGTAACCCTTTCAGAGCTACCCCAGGATATCTTTATAGGATATTTATTTTATTATTGTTTTCTGAATATTCATGTTAAATGGGTTACATATGCAGACGGAGACCTCCAATGAAGCAAGCAACGGGCTTATTTATATAAACTGATCAAAACAACACAACAGTAAAAGAGATGTACTTCAATTGAAGTAGGAAAAAGAAGACCTACTCGTCTTACGAACGGTGGCTCTGACTGTGTATCCCTCCTCTAGAAGGCGCTTCACGAGCCATGAACCCACATATCCTGCCGCCCCTGTTACACACACTGTGCGCGCCATCTCTCTCCTCTTCTAATTACGCGGTTGAAGGGTAATTCATCCTGCAATCGGAAATTATCAGATGAAACGCATGCCCCTTTGGGTTGTGTGTAAAAGATTGAAACCCTATCCTACTCTCTCTCACCAAGCTCTGTTGCTCGCAGGACAAGGGCTCGCTCTCACAACGCTCACGAAGTTGACTAATCGCTCATTAAGAGGTTCTTTTGGCCCTCTTTTTTTCCATCGATGACGATGAGTGCTTTCCCTCATTGATTTTTGGTATTAAGGTTTGATTTTTCTGTATTAAGTTAATCCTTTATATTATCTTTCTATTCATATGGTTTAATTTTCTTATGTTGATTATCTATTTTAGGGTTTCAATATTTTACCTCAAATGTGATCATTGTTGGATATGGTTATATCCAAAATCACCATCATAAAAAAAATCTTATATTATTGGGATTGATATTGAAGAATTTTCATGTTTATTAGGATTCTTATTTTGAGAAACCAATTTATAAACTTCAAAATGAGTAGTAGTAGAGGAATGGAACTAGAAGTCCAAGAAAATTTTGAGTACTCATGTGCAATGTCCAGTATCATCCAAGACATAAGACAACTTCAAGAAACTCTCCCTTGAGTTGTCATTCAAGAGCCATGTTTGTGTGAGGAAAGAGTACTTAATGCTTTATGGTACTGAAAGTCGCAAACAAGGTTTGACAGACTCATGCTGGACAAAAAAGAAAAAGAGCTCCAAGGTAGCATGAACCTCAATAGCTTACCAATCTGTTTTCAAAATTCTCTCTTTTCAAAATTTTTCCCTATGTGTTTGTTAGATTTCAAAAATCTTATTTTTCTTTGTTAAAATAGCATGCCTATGCACCTGGTTATGTTTTTAAAAAGCTCTCCTTTTTTCAAATCGTTAAAAATATTTTCTAAAGTGAATGAGTTGGAAAAACTCGTATATGATGTTGCCATGATTCTGCCTTCTTTGAAATTCTTGAAGTTTTGATTAAAACCCTTAGGAACTCATAGGTTCCCAAAACCTTAACCTGAACCTGTGGACCTTAAGAATTTAGAGTCAAAGGCAAACAGTGTTGAAAGTATGGCCTATCAAGGTCTAAATTCCAGTAGTCTCTCATTCAGTGGGAGCGATTGAGAGATTGAAATCTTGGTGTCTTGCGAAATGGAACCCAGATTCTTTTACCCCGAGTACGAATGAGGCATCGGGAGTTCACGTGTTGAGAAAACAATTTCTCAAGGAGATGTGAGTTCACCTCTTAGTTAGGATTTTATAAGTTAGCCTCATGTTTAGTTGCAATCGGCCAGGGCTCGGAGAATCCAAATGAGAAAAAAAGACCCCGAGTACTTATTGAGTATTCGTCCTGTATTGAATGGTCAAGACTTATGGGACATAAGTCTGTATCCTGATACGAGACCATTGCATGGCATGTGCATTTTCATTTCGTACGGGAAGTCACTCTTCCAAATGCATTATCCGAGTTTGGAAGAGCCAGTGCACATGTTCTTTAAGAGGACTCCTGTAATTGAGTTGGATTATTTCCAACAGGGGTACACCTGTAATCTATTGAGAGCCAAATGATCAGAAGTTTTGGCTCAGCGGTTTTGATATGACCAATTATGTGTCTTTGTTTTAGACTATGGAACATAGGTCTATTGGATCGATCTGAGACTCGGTAGAACATCACTCGGGACTAGCCCAATGGAGTACTCTGATACCTATAGTTATTAACCTGAGATCTCATTATACATTTTGTCCGATTTTATAATTATGAGAAAAACCTAATAATTGCTAAAAAATACTTTAAATATTTATTTTGAATTTTAAAGAATTTTTCAGAATTTTAACTGATAAAAAAATGAGGGTTTTCATATTGTTTGGCTCAAATTCCACTTTAGTTCTAACCTGGTAGTGCCATGTGGCGTCCGAGTGGCCATAGGGCTGCTACATAGCACTCCACACCTCACTCTAGGATCACCGCCCAGATGGGCATAGATTCCTAGGTGTGGGACTAGATTGGCATTTGGTTGCTTATTTTATAAGGGGTTGTGTTATGGTGTATTGTTATATATTGTTATATTTTATTATATAATGTTATAAATTAAGGCCCTATATTTTTTTCACATGTCTTGATTAACTCACACATGGGTCATGCATGGCATGTGTGAAGTTTAATTAATTAATTTATTTGATATTAAAGAGAAAATACATTTTCAAATTTGAGTTGAAAAATATCTTCACATAGATGTGTGATGGGGACATTATCTTTAAATTGATTGGTTTGAAATTCTAGATCTATAAAGTGATTGGCTTTGATAAAGTAAAATATTTACACATATGTGAGCTTTATCAATTACTTCTTTGCCGTTTAGCCTTTGTGATTATCTACTCTAATACATTATTAGAAAAAACTAAGGGTATTTTTGTAAGGCCATATTGGATACAATTGGAACAAAAACATGGGCCAAGGACAAAATGGTAAAGTGGCATAACTTAGGGTTAGGTTGAGTGATAATGGTGTGAAATCTCATCCCTTCATCCTAGTGGTTGAATGGGGATGGGTGGCTAGGTACATTAGCTTCTCATGTGCCTTTGGATTACTGCATCAAGGATATTGATTGAATCCAAAGTTACACCCATGTTATAAAAGTGCATCATGAGATCTCAAACCCTATCTATCTCAACTCTTGAAATATTTTAGAAAATTGTTGCTTCCCTACTTCTTCTAAGGTTTTGTGAGAGAAAATTGAAGAGAGAGAGCTTTTAGAGTTCTATTAATGATGATCTTGATGGTGGTCCTCCTTTCTTATGCTTAAGTCCATAGTGTGCATTTTCTTTTTTCATAAGATCATATCCTTCGCATCTATAGTTGCTGAAGTTTTAAATTTAAAAAATTTTCATTGATCTTAAAATCTTCATTTGATCATCTTTTGCATCATGTTTATTCATAGTGTGGTCCTTCATGAGTTATAGGCTATATGCATGAGAATCCATGATCATGCATAGTATCTATTAATTACTTTGCTTCAAACCCATCAAATAATTTAGTCTCAAAGTGTCACTCCATTTTCAGAACTTTTTCATCATGTTTTTACTTATGGGGGTTCATAATCTTTCCATACAAGACTGCTTTGGTGGTCTGAGGGACCACCGTGTATAGTTTGGCCATAACTCTCTTGTTCTTTATCCGATTCGATTCAAACCTTTTTCATTATGTTTTGGATGGTAATGCCAATATGTTGAGATTTTCAAAAGTGATTTTAAGGTGTGTAACTTCTTCCCATTTGGATTAGACAGTCCTGTGAGCTTGAACCACTTTTATACAATCGGAAGGTACAGAATTAAGTCCTTATAGGGCCCGATTGCGTAGCCCCGGCACAAGGGGTTCGAAACATGGATTCCCTATTTTAATTTGGCATTCTAATTCCCAGTTTAGTTGATTTTATTCTTTGGAATTTTGTTTAGATTAGTTGCAAGATGTATTTAAGCTTTGAGACATAGTTTATGTAATTTGTGCTATGAAAGTGTAATTTATAAGCTAGTCTTGCTTTATATGTAATTGCCCCATAAGGAGTTGGTATTTATTTACAGTGGTTATACAAGGCTAGAAATGGTTGTAATTGTTATGTAAAATGATTGTAAGTTCTTCACTTAGCTTGTTTTTTAGCAAGTGGCTTGTTGAAGGTGTCCATTTTTCCTTGTTTTTCGACTTGAAAATTTGCTCTAGTCTTTGTATATACTTTCAAGCAGAAGTTCAACTAGCCAGAAAGTCATCATTACTATCACTTATCTCTTAATTCAAATCCCCATATAATTAAAACTCATGACCATAAGCAAAGATAGTACAATTCCAGTTCAATGTCTTACAGATAAAAAAAATTCATTGGCGTACCGCCTTTCTTGAAGGCACTGGTCATTCAAAAGATAACTCATCAATTTTTTTTTCTATCGTGTCTCGGGTGTTTACTTCTTTGCTATTCACTTGACGTCCTACGTGAATGCCAAAGAGGGATAACTGTAGACAAACCCCTCGAAATTCTAGTTAAAAGAAGTTCCCAAAATCCTTATCTAAGTCCTAAGGAGTACAATAACTCTAGTGAGCCATAGTGAACGTAGACCTTTAGAATTACCCAAAATCTATCTTAATATACTCAAAAAATCACTTTAGACACCCATGAACCTAATGAACCCCAAAAACTAACCTGAAGGTTGATCTAACACCCAGAAACTTGAAACTGAACCCTAAAGTCCTAGCTTTATAGGCTGGTAACTCAAATTTGCCTAAATTTAGCTCTAAATTATAGAGGAGATCATAAGCTTTCAAACAGTCCAAGAATCGCCCAAATTTAACTGACGGTTAGAAAGTTATGGCCACATGAAAAATTGTTAAAAAACATGACATCTTAGTCCCCCATGTTATTTGACATGTGCCGGGCGATTGACGTGCAAAGCGCGCAACTTGCCGAATGAAGGCCGCGCATCACCGAAATGTATTTTGAGTCTTATTTTGGCAACATTTAAGGTGTTTTTTTACTAGAATATTCCGAAAAAAGTCCAAAAATTAGCCTAATCCTAATCCAACTAGAACTAGTAGATTAAAACAATAAATTTCAACCCTAACCCAAGCTCAAGCCTATAAATACTCCCCTCTAAAATCCCAAAAACGATATTATGAAAAAAAAAAAAAAAAAACTGAAAAGATTCTTAGTAAACTCCTTAAGAAAATTCCCAGATAATTCAAAAAATCCATGAATTCCAAATAATTAAGTAATCACCTCTAGAAAATTAGAAAACATTCAAGAAAATTAGGAAAAATCCTAAAAAGACTAAAACAATAGAGGAAAATTTTCCAAAGACCCTAAAAAAATAGAAAATCCCCAAAATCCTTAAAAAATAAGAAAAATCTTTCAAAAAAATAAGAAAAAACCCTAAAAAGCCTTAAGCTAAAGCTCTTAAGCCCAGATCCTCGTAACATCTTTCAAATTAAGATCCAATCCTAGTAACAAGTTATCCCAAATTCAAAACCTTAGATCCATTCTTTAAAAAGGCAAGGAAAATCATCAAAATGTATAAATCAGCTCATAATCCTGATACGGGTCCCCCTTTGGGTCCCACGTATGTGCTTTTTCTCTCTTTCTTTTAATTTTTATTCATTTTCTTTTTTTCATTTATTTTTATGTTTTATTTTATTTTAATGGTTATTTCCTTGTTTATTATATTTAGTTAATTTTTATAAAGCTTTTAAGGTCTTGTATGTTGATTTGGAGCTAGCATTGCTAGTGGACTTAAAAAATGACAGGATTTGTATAGATATGCAATGTTTATGAGCCTATAATTTGAGCAACCACAATCTCGGTATGGATCTTTAAAAATAACTCGTTCCGCATGAGATTTATGTCAATCTCATTCAAAGATTAGCAAATATCCAAGTATAAACAACTATGTTGGTCTTGGGCTGGGGAACCCTTTGACCTTGACTTTATGGACGACCAAAGGCTAGAGATGGGCCTGGTCGAGGTCCAAATAGTTCAATAGCCTATAAGAAGGTCCAAACCAAGGATAGGTTCCTAAGCTGAGCAACTAAGGACTGGTAGATCTCATAATCGCGCTCTAGATCAATCCATGTAATGAGCCGTGATGGCTCAAACCTCACCTCTTGGAAACATTAGAATGAATATTGGATGAGTTTTGGCCTTGTTGACCCAAGTTCTTGCACCGAGAGAGTCGACCCTAGTCAAGTTGACCCTAAGGTTTAAATGAGTTAGGAGGTGCAAGGGCCTTGTCGATGGTGTGAACCTCCGTTTTGACTTAAAATTGGAGATTTTAGTCCTACATGCTTACCTCCTTCAACGCAACCCGGGCCTCATGCCCTGGTTGTGCAGAGTGGTCAGCCATGCAGATTTCCCAAGCCATTAGACTCTGTGGAGTAGAAGGCGAGTTCTCAATGTTGAGCCTAGGATGCAAAATTATGGATCCACTAAATCTCATTTTGGGTTGACTCGACTCTCAAGGTAGACCCAAGGGATAGTGCCATAGGGCCCAATGGGCTGCCTTAGCCAGGGGGGTTTGGTGGAAATAGTGGACTCGTTGCCTGAGTCACCACAGACCACTGACATGGTTCTAACGTAGGATATATAAAGAAGGCACACAATAAAGGTTGAAACAATTTGCACTAGTGGACTATAGGTAGGTAGGTCTGGTCAAGGTTACCAACTGATGAAAATGGTTACGATTAGGTTTGACTAGGTGCCGGCATGACGCTGGTGCCAGTATAGGGGTTCTAAAAAATCATTTGAAATTCCTTTTAATATGTGCAAATTGCGTGTGATAAGAATGTGTGGAAGAGCAATACACAAGTGGTAGGTGCCAAAGGGTGTAATAAAACAAGCAAGAAGCGAACAACCTAGTTACTGATGTAGGATAAGGATAATGCAAGAAAGATAAAAATCTTAAAACCTAATCTAATCCGATAAGGATATGCTACAAAGATCTAAAACCTAATCTAATCAACTAAGGATGAGTAAACATAGAGAAGATATACGACTTAATCTAAACAGATAAATATAAGCAAAGACCCAATCTAATGATGCAGCCGAGCAAAGATCTAACCTAATGACCGGAAATTACTAGTTAATAACACCGGACAAAAACAACTACATTTTAGAAAAAGAAACAAAAGTTTAAGAAGAAATTAACAAGAAGATAGAAACATGTGCAAATCTAAGTTCTCCGCTACACACCCACACCCACAAGCGCAAGAGAACTTATCCACGCCAAAAGCTTCCACCAGTACATGGTCGATTTTCCTTTTATCCCCCCATCAAAAGGATCATCCAAAAAAAAAAAAAAAAATTTCTCTCTCTAAAATCTGACTAAAATAAATTAAAATATAAAACATTACTTCTTTTGACTGTAATCCGATCGCTTCAGTTAGTCGAGCACAATCATCTTAATTACATCTTCTCCCCTGGTTGGAGAGAACTCATCCTTGAGTTAGTTCTTCCTCACTAAAGGAATCTCATGCATAAAGAATTAAATACTTGACATTAAAAACATCATAAGTCTTCATATGGCTTGATAGTTTTAACTGATAGGGCATTGTCATTGATCCTCTTTAAACTTTGGCATGGCCCAATCTTCCAATTACTAAGCTTGTTATAATCCCCAACAGTTAAAGAGAAAGGATAAGGAACATAAAAGGAACAAACACACCTTCATTAACACACAGACAGAACTCTTTTACAAGCTTCAACTTCTACTGGAGGCTCTGATACCGCTTCCCAGTGGGCGTCTGATTTTCTCTTCAGAAAGCATAATGCCAAATTTCTTACAGATATCATAGAATTCCTGGAGAAGAATAACATGATGCTGCATGTCTTTGCTGAAGAGTAAAAGGTCATCTATGTATATCAGGAGATGGTTTTGCAGGGGTTGAAAGATTTGGGACATCACTTTTTTAAAATATGTGGGTTATGAGATATTCCAAGGACATGAAAATTGGCCAGCGCATCATTCCCAAGCAAGCAGGGTATGGGGATGCTTATTGCTCAGACTGAAATTGATTTTTAGGCATGCATTTCTCCAATGGTAAATATCATCTCCAAACACATGTTGCAAAGCATTTGATTGAGTTTCCTGACAGATTGAACAGTACCAAGCAGATTCAACGGTTTCTGGGGAAGGATTGTCAATTATATGGCTCCAAAATTTTGCTTTATTTCTTCTGATAGATTCACTGCTATTTCTCGCTCCGGATCAGGATTCCATTCTTCTAATTTAGTTGGAAATATTTCAGAAATATCTGGAGTGTATGAGAGAGAACTATATTCAACAAAATAGTTAAATTTTTCTTCACACTCACCCAATATTCCAACTGTGGGATCCTTTTACTCATACCTCTCTTGCAACTTCTGTTGTGAGGATTTTTTCTTTCTTCTTGGTTTCTGGAAATCATAGGTTTTTGAACAGAAGAGGCATGGATTTCTGGCATGAATGGTTCATATAGCATGTTTGGAGGGACGTTTTCTGAGTGGGTTTCTACTTTTGTCTGGGTTTGTTCAGGCATTTGCGATGGAATTTGTGGGGTATTTTGTGTTGTTTGGTTATAAGAGGAAGAAGGCCTATACTGTTCTTGGGTTTGGGTTTGGGGCTGAGGTCTCATTCTTTTATGCAAATCAGGGAATAACTAGTGTTCTGGAAATTGTCTTTCTATCTACTTGGAGGTATCAACTGGGTTGTAGGAAACATGGTTTTTGGGGTAGCAAACGGATATGCAACGGGTTTACTTAGACCTCAGCCCAAAACCCAAACCCAAGAACAGTATAAGTTTTCTTCCTCTTATAATTTTTTTGGACAATTTTGCAAAGTGTCCTTTTTTTTCCACAGACAAAACAAGCGTCTTTTTTTTTTTCTGAACTTTCTTACTTTTGACTTTCTCATAAATCTGAATTTCTTGAATTTCTTTCTTCTGAATTTATGTCTTTTCTTCAGCTTTCATTTTTCGTGCTTTGCTGGTTCAGGACAATAGCATTTAGAATTTTTTCCATATTTTATTCTCAAGTGATCTTTGTGCCAAAACTTCTGTAACTGCTGTTTTGTTTTGTTTTCTCCATTTCTATGCCAAGTCAAGAAGCATGAGATGAATTATTGGCCCGCTGAAAAATAAATATTGGTTGTTGTCAGAGGAGTCGAAAAGTTTTACACCTGTTTAATTGAAAAAACATTTATTCTCATAACTGACTCTTCCAATCTAATAAGTATAAAGAAAAAGAAAATTGCTAGTAGTTTAAAATTACAAAGATATACATGGTGACAATCATCCTTTCCCATTATAAATTTTCAGTTGAAAAGGTTTCGGGAGCAAACCATCATCTTCAAGATGCCCTCATAAGAAAAATAAAAATGATAAGAATGATCTAGAAAATGAGTGGCTGACATGGTCTTTAAAAACCCCGAAAAAAAGCCAAAAAATTTGTCAAAAGGTAAGGAGTTATTTTTCTCTTGTACTAGAAAATACTTATTCAACTACAAGAAATTACCATTATATTGATTGCTTTCTCACATCCGGCAGAAGAATCAGTATAATAATAAACAATTTCAGATGGACTTCTTTAGAACCCGAATTAATTGCCTGGATTATTGAAAAGGAAGTATTGGATGACTTGCTGATTTTCAAAAGACAACTATATCTTGATCATATTGCTAGAGAGTTTATGATAAAATTATTAAGATATACATATAGAAAAAATGATTTATGCGAATATTTTTAAAAAATTAATTTCACTGAGCAAGTTTTTATTTGAAGATATAAAGATGAAATTATTTGTAATCATTAACCATCCATTATAAAGCCATCGGCATCAATGTAGCTATTAGATAGCTTTTACAAAAATTTTAAAAATTGCAAGAATTGTTAAGCCAGATGACATTTTTGTATGACTTATTATAAAGAATTCAACAACATTATTGAAGATGAGTCACCAGCATCATCTCAAAATATCTCATAAAAAAATAACACAAGGTTTTCCTGAAGTAGTTTTACTTTATAAAGAGTGTATCTTCTTTTTATGAGTGATTTTACTATTTACCTTTTCAGTATGTGGAAGAGTGAGTAACGAGTGTATGTAATTATTGTTGTGTACTTGTTGCTTTCATTTTTGTTTTAAATGGATGCACAAATAAGTGACATGTGGAAGTACTTGATATACTAGGGTTGTATGGGTCTTTTTTAAGTGACATGTGGATCTACTTGATACTAGGGTACTGTATGATTTTGCTTTTCATTTATGGTTTAGCCCATAGTTTTGTAAACCAATGTGTGGTAAATCGGGTTATGTTTCACTATATATATGTAACCCTTTGTGTAAAATGAACCAGAAGTGAAGTTGAGTTTGCTTCGTACAAAGAATTGGGTAACCAAGCCCGATAGACTCATCACGATCCAATAGTCCTTTGGTGGACTTATCTGACTGTGCTTCTTGACGAAACTTAGGATAACAAAGCTCTCTTTTACTGTGAGCGTAATATCGGTTAGGAACACCGTCATGTATTGTTAACTGTTTTAGTAGCTGATCTGATCGAGATGACTAATAAGTCACAACCCTTAAAAGAATATCTTGACTAATTGTTGGCGGTTGAGCACAATACTCAACCCTTTCATCTAACTTCTCCCTTATTTACTTTCTACCTCTCCATTACCTGCCCTACCAAATAACCCTATTTTTTTTAAAAAAAGAAAGAAAAAACAAAAACACATACAAAACTAAAAAATATTTTTCTCTATGCTTCCCTTTTGTTCCCTTTAATCTAATTTTGTCTCTTTCTGAGTTTCTCCATATTTTCTTATTTCCTTTTGCAATAATAATTCATCCATCTCTAAAACTAAGTGTTTATCTATCGTATTTTTGTCTCATTTACCCACTTTTACCTATACGTAAAGCTTTCCCTTTGCTTCTTTTCTTCTCTCATAATGTCTCTTTCTTCCCTTTACTTGTCCATTCATCTTAGCTTCTTTCTCAATTATTGAGTACATCTCGTTAATTCTTAGTTATGCATCTCCTTAGTCATTAAAGCTTCATGTACTTTTATTTTCATATCTTTATCCATTTAAAGTAGTATCTTGCCTTTCTTTACGTATTTATCATTTCTAGTTTCTTTAGAATCCGCTTTAGATCCTCTTTTCAAATCCTCTTTAGACCGTCTTTAGACTCTCTCTTTAAACCTCTCATCACTCTCTGACTGAGACTTTTCTCTTTTCTACTATCTTCACTTCTTTCCCACTGGTATTTTTTAAGGCTTTTTAACCCTAGGGATTTTTTTATTTTATTTTTATTTTTAGGCTCTTTAACCTTAGGGAACAAACATGATAATAAATAAAATAATATGCCTCATGGTTGGGATGTCTATCTATGTTTAAGAGCTCATGGATTTGATTCGCATGAGCGCCCCCCCCCCTTTTGGATTTGATTCGCATGCCCCCTCCCCCTCCC